CTCTCTCTCTCTCTCTCTCTCTCTCCTCTCCCTAGAGGTGGAAGGAGGAGTTTCGTACTCTGAACAGCCAGAGTAGGGCTGCTGTCAGGTTTGTCTGGTTTTTTTTCTTCCTCTGTAAGAGCTTAGAGAAGAATCTAGAAAAACGAGTTGAACTGCAGAGGCTCAGATGATCGATCTGTCTCCCTCACACTGAGCCTAGTTAAGGGGCAGGCTGACCTGGCGCCACTTCTGGTGGCCGGAGCCTGGGCAAACTGCTTCCTTAGTGGGAACACCCGCCCCATCTCTGCCTTGCCCACCTCCATTCCCGGGGTTTGAACAGCTGGTCAGAGCAGGCGGAGGACAGAATGGCGCCACAAGCTTAGGCGCTGCCCCCAGGAGTCACCATTCTCCAATGCAGAGGTGGCCACACCAAGAAGGCAGTGCACACACAAAGCTCCTTCACTTCCTTGAACCATGGCCAGTGCCAGGTCTCGTCCCGCCCCCCCCACCCAGAGGCAGAAAGAATAAGCACAACTGCCTCAACATGGCGGCGGGAGGTACTGTGTTATCCTTTAAGATGCCCCAGCAGTTCCCTGCCCCCCCGGGGGCAGAGTGGCACCACTTACAGGAAGTCTGCCATGACGGTGGCAGGTGGTGGCAAGGCCTGAGGAGGCCCTACTCTCAGGCTGCGCAGGACTCGCTCTCCTGGTGACAGGGCGGCTGGACCCTGGGTTTTCCCATACCTGGCTCAAGGCCAGGGTGCACGAGCTGGGATATTTACAGTCAGTGTGCCCCGGGAAAGGCTCTGCTCCCCACCTGCCTCCCCGCAGACTGAGGCTGAGTATTCACAGGCAAGGAGATAAGTGTAAGCTCCGGCAGGCTGGAGCTCTGGCAGAGCTTGTACAAAATACTGGCATTCCTTCCTGTCACAGAGAGGACCCCCAGCCCAACTGCCCCGCACTGCATTGTTCCAGCGACTCTGCCCCAATCCCGGGCTAACTGAGCCCTCCTTTGGTCCAGGATTAATTTGCCAGGCAATGGTATCCACAAACATCTACCAGTTAAGAATTCCTTAAGTTGTTAGGATCCGAAAGTGAATTAGTTCCTTTATCAAGCTTCCAATGACAAGTTTACTTAAACATGAGACACTGGACACAGTGAGTGGGCCCTTTTGGTGCCCTACCCGGATCCCCTTTGCCTGTGGTTGCACCCACCCCCCAGCTGCTATGGGCTCACAGCTGCTGCCCTTCCTCTGGACAACTGCCTTTGGCTGATGGGAGCATCCCCACCCTGGGTGCTCCACAGTCGATGGCTGACAAACACAGTGCCATGAAAGACGCCTCCCTTACCGCAGTCAGAGCCCTCTCTGGTGGAAATCCATCCTCCAGAGTTCCACTGGGACCAGCTGAGACCAGATCCTTGCTTAGTGACTCCCCCTGCCCAATCCTGCTTCCCTCCCTCCCCTTTCTCCTGAGAGCTCTCTTCTGATAAATCCCATGCCCTAGAATCCCTGTCCCAGGCTCTGTTTCTAGGGAACTCAACCCAAAACATGGATATTAATTTACCACTGTTAGCTTTCCTGAATGGCAACCGTGTCTACCATAGGTGTGCAAGAAAGATTTGGGTGTGGAAAAGATGAAGAAATCAACTAAGAGGTGGTGGAGGTATCTGGGGAAGAGATGGGGCTCAAATGCAAAAGCAGTGGACCTACCTCACATCCATAGACTGAACTTCTTCCGTTGAATCATCCAGACTGTTTGATTTCCCATCAAGGGCGTCCAGACGAACAAGTCCCCCAACTGGTTTAAGTCCATTAGCGAAAACATCTTGGGGGAAAGTCTCTGGGGCAGCGCGTTCCACACCATTAACTTCCTGGCAGGTGTTCAAGCCATTGATTTCTGATGGAGAACACAAAGTCATTCTGTCAGTCATAAAATATCCCAAACGATGAAATGACAGGGGAAATATCTATGGAGGCAATGAATCCTCTACTTTACCATCAATGCAATATCTTTTGTAAAAAGAACCCCATGTAGTCACCTTCCCACCGGGAAGAGATGACAAATGACATCATCAGTGTCTGTGCGGGGCTCATGACCCACCCGGGAGGCTTGGTGTCATATGCTGTACAGGTCCCCAGGCTCTTGAGCCACATGGCTACAGAGAAATGTGAACAGTGACTCTGAGATGGGTATGCGTTTTCTGACTTTGGCTGCCACGAAATAGTCCAACCTGAGGAGCTTTAAGTACATGATAGAAAAGAGCTGGACTATCTAGAACGCTGGAAGGCAGAAGAAACTGCCGTAGAACAGCAGAGTCAGTTCTTAATAGAACCTAACACCAGCAATTAAGCTTCCCGGAAAGCAACCCAGCCAGCAGATGGCCTGGCTCCGGCACTGGGATTATTAGAGTAACTGAGGAACCCACCGGTTTCCAAGGGGACCTGACAGACCTGTGCTGGAGATGGAAAACTCCACAAGGGAGGGGTAAGTGCACAGGCCCCTTCCACTAATAAAGCTCTTAGGACCCATGGGTGCTAGTCTCCCACAGGAAGCGCCATGAGCCCTCACCTCCCGAAAGGAAGAACCTAAGAACCAGACCTCACGCTCACCTATTTTGTTGGGGACAACTGGTTTTGTCTCATTTTCCACACACACAGCAGGCTGAAGCTCCACTTTCGGGTCTTCTTTCTGAAAACAAATAGAGGGAAGGTTGGCTTTATGTAGAAAGATAAGTGCTTTTGAAAAGTATCAGAGGATATTTGGAACCATGCTGGGCCAACTGTCTACTCCACGGTAACTCTTTGAATTTTCTGAGGTTATTCCAAATCAGCTATGTTTCCCTTATTAATATGCCACCATTCTCTTTTTTTATCTGTGGACTATAATGCTTCTCCCTGAATCCCTACCCCCATTTCCCTGAGGACATCTTTTGTTATCACCCCGTCTCTGAAATCCCTCTCTTAGACTCCTCTTTCCTTTCAGGGACCTACAGCCTCCTTAATCTAGCCAGGAGCAAAGCAAGGAAGAGCCCATTTTTTTCTGGTTAATCCTCTCTGAGACCTACAATATCACTGAATATATTCCACCATTCTGTTCTTCTCAGAACATGAATTATGAAAATGGTACTCTGAATGCCTACCTTTACTTCCAGAGACACATCGCTCTTCCTTGTTCTCTTCATAATTTCATCTATTCTCTGGGAACCAAAAAGAAGCAGGTAAGAGGACTACAAGACCAAAAACATATACAAGTAAGCCGGGTCTATACGCAATTTCACATTCCTCGCAAAACTTCTAAAAAAGAAACATCAGCAGAGGATAATGTGTACAGAAAGGCTTTTCCATTGATTTTGCAGACATACACCTCTGCCATACGAACAAGGTCAAATGCTTAAGGAGTGAACTAGTTAAGTATCTAGAATCAACAATTTATATCCCATCTTTCTCCTTCCTCTCCTTAAGTTACCTAGAAATCAACACATCACCACCTGCCATTCAAGAGGACCACCCTAAAGAAAGCCAAGCTGAGGTGCAGAAAGGGAGGCCACAGATTGGACACCATGAAAATGGACCTTTATAAACAGCCTCCTTAAACCCTTTACCCGTAATTCAATGGCCTAAACACCCCAATTAAAAGACAAAAACTGTCAAACTGGATTAAAATAACAAATCCTGACCGTATGCTATTTATAAGAGGCACATTTATAAGGACATACATAGGTTCCAAGTGAAAAAATTTATCATGCAGGTGCTAATCACAAAAAGGCTGACAAAGTAGACTTTAAGAAATATTACTAGAGATAAAGAAGGACGTTTCAGGACTTCCCTGGTGGCGCAGTGGTTTAGAGTCCGCCTGCCGAGGCAGGGGACG